TCCAGGTCTGTTGCTAGCGGTAGGAATGCCACATCAGTCGTGACGCGGCATCTCATTCTATTTTCGTTCTATACGTTATAGGCGAACATAAGATTGTAGATGTTATTTACTTGAAAGGTGCTGCTCTTTCATGGAGACTATAGGCTACTAGGCCTACTTATTTTGAACATAAGTTATCCTATTCCCACACAAATTTGTTGGGGTTTTTTCAAACTTGAAGCTTATGTACCTACTTTTTGTTCCATATATTCGTTATTTTTTTAGCATTTAAGTATAACTATTATTTACTTACGGTACTGTTTACTTTTTGACAAATACCCAACTTAACAACAGAAAACCGTTTTATTTTTAAACATAGTCTGTATTTTGTGGCGTTCTCAATTCGGAGTTCAGTAATGATGCAAATGTTCTTGTCTCAGTGTGCTGCTACCATTTCTCAGATTCTTTCATAAGATGTCGCTCCATAAAAAAGTACGGTATAGAATTGCCTTATTGGAAAATGTAATGAGAAATTTAAATAATAATTTGAAAGTACTACTTAAGTTAGGCTACTAAGTAAATGAACACATTTTGATGACTAAGTAAACTATTTTTAATTTAATAATGTTTTTAAAGCCTTTACCTTTACATGCCTTTAAAAATCAATATTTTGGGGTAGCCTACTAAAATTATCCTAGAAGAATTAAAATTTGTTTTTAATGAAAATAAAAAATATATAGCCTATTAGCTTAAAGTAATTTACATAATTTACTAGTATCTTAAAGGTTTTTTAACCTAGAGCTAATGCGGCAGAGGGGCTTTGTCAATCACATTGTGTGACTCCAAAGCTTTGGGTCCACTGCCAGATAATGAGAGTGTAAGTAATGAGCAAATCATAGTTAAAAAAAATATCTCAGCTACAAAGTTTGGTGCCAATTTTAACTTTTTTGTTTATATGTTGTTTATATAATGACAATCTCTCGTCATCTGAGTCCCAAGCAATTGTATCTAAAGCACTCCCTCTTGTCAAAACTGTAGAACCAACCATTGTAAATATTACCAATAGTGTTAACGGTGTTAATGAGACTATATCTGACAGGGTCAATCGTATTGAGACATCAATGAATGTCTCTGAAAAATGGGAAAAAATAAAAAGGAAAAACAGGAAACTGAGTAAATCAAATGTTAAAATGTCTTGTCACAAGCAACCCGTTGTCAACTGTACTAATCGGTTTAAAGTTCTTGGGAGGGAAAATAAAAATGTAAATGATGCAACAATATGTAATTCATCAGGGAGGTGGCTACTTAAGTCACCTAAACATCTTGTAAAACGAACTAGACCGGCTGTAATGCCTACTAATAACTCTGCGGGTGAGCATTGTGCCCAGGGACCTACAGTGGTCAACAATGGTGAGGGGTTATTCAAGGGGAATTTGTTGATTGGGGACTCACTCTTGAGGTTCTCAGGGGGGAAGTGTAAACAAAATGGAGTTGTAGTTGATGTAAATCCGGGGGCAAAAGTCACTGACATCAAACAAAAGCTGATTAATCACAGTTCTGACCAACCTGATCTAATTTATTTATTTGTGGGTACTAATGATCTTGTGCTAGGGTATAATGGAGGGCCAGGATATAATGGGGGGTGGGGGAAGAAAGTGGTACTGCACTCGATGGCCGACCTTTTGTGTACGGCCAAAAGCAATTTTCCCAAAGCTAGAATCTTGTTGAATAGTGTCTTAATTCGAAATGACATAGGCCACAGAGCCCTTTCCCTCTTTAATGATCAATTATTTCTCATGTGTAACAATTTTGGGGTAGAATTTGTTAATGCATCACATGTTATTTCTAAGCGTCATCTGGCTAAGGATGGAAGGCACCTTAATCAACGTGGGAACCGTCTTCTCGGTGACTTCATGTTTCAGAGCATATTTAGCCCGTATTGTAAGGTAACTTCTTGGCCTTCTTTGGAAGAGAAGCCCAGTGTATTGTCAGTTGAGCCGTCATGTTCTTCGATTGCCCAACCAATTTCGGAAAACTATGTGTTTCAGACCTCTCGAACTTCAGGATAGCACATGTTAACATCCGTTCTCTGAATACTGGATTTGAAGAGCTCTGTGCAGTTGTAGAGGATTTTGATTTTGATTTGTTGGGAGTCACAGAGACGTGGTTGTCTCATGTAACGTCTTCTGATGTATATACTATTCCTGGTTATGATATGGTTAGAAGTGACAGATCTTCTCACCTTGGTATGAGTGGAGGTGGTGTTGCCTTGTATATAAAAAAATCTGTAAATTTCCGCTCAATACAGCTCTGCAATGTTGATGATCGTCTTGAGTACTTATGTGGTGTTGTTTCTTTGAAAGAATTAAAGCTTTGTGTTTGTTTTGTATAAAGGTCACCTTCTGTCCCATATACTGTTCTGAGTTCATTGTTGCATGGCCTGTTCATTGACCAGATGATGGAGGTAAATGCTGTGATTCTGCAGGGTGACTTAAACGTGAATCTCATGGAAAATCTAAAACCTGATTCCAAGTACTTGTCTTCTCTTCTTCAGTCCATGAATCTGAGTCAGCTTATAAAGGAGCCTACTCGTGTCACTCATCTGACATCCTCCCTCATAGACTTGATCATTGTTGACAGAGACCTGAAGCTGGAGGTGGGAATGGTTGATACGTCAACTATTCTTGACTATAGAGGGAAGAAAATAACTGATCACCGTTTGGTATTTTGTGACCTTCCTCATAAAATGGCCAAAAAGAAAAAGATTAAATTTGTGTCTTACAGAGATTCGAAAAATATCAACATAAAACAGTTTGTTGAACTCGCATCAGTAGTTGACTGGGACTACATTTCATCTCTCAATAGTGTAGATGACGTTGTACTGGCCTTAAATGAGAGGATACTTCTAATTTATGATTTATGCGCTCCGGTCGTGAGGAAGCGAGTTACGAAGAAAAAGGCTCCATGGAGAGACAAGAGTATTGCCGTTCTAACAAAAATAAAGAACAAATCAAGAAAGATTTTTATGAATCACAGGAACGGTGAATCAAGAGCGGAATATTGCAAAGCAAGAAATGGCTCAATTTAGCTATAAGAAGGGCAAAAAAACGTTTTCTTGAAAGTCAAGTACAGGGTAAAGATCCTAAAAAGTTCTGGGCATCTCTGAAAGCCACTGGGGTGTTGGAGTCTGCCGATGATAAAGATTGTTCTTTTACACCTCAGGAACTTAATCGATATTTCTCTACAATGGGAACTAATAATAACAATAATTGTTGTATTAGTGCGGACAAATTGAACTTTTATAACCAGAACAGTAGTAATGATGTGAAGAAGGGGTTCTCTTTTAAACCTGTGACTGAGGATATTATCAAGGCAGTCATGAACAACATCACCACCCGTGCCGTGGGAACGGATGGAATTTCTGTCGACATGATCAAGTCTTTGAGTCCGTACTGTGCCTCAGCTATTTGTCATTTAGTAAATCTGTCCTTGGTTACAGGATGTTTTCCTAATGTTTGGAAAAAAAGTATACTAATTCCTCTGGCAAAACAATCAAATCCTACTTCTGTTTCTCATTTCAGGCCCATTTCTATCCTCCCAGTGATGTCTAAGATATTAGAAAAGGTTGTTGTTGAGCAGTTGACATTTTTCTTGGAATCTGAGAATATTCTTCCTGAGACTCAGTCAGGCTTTCGTAAAGGTTTCAGTACGAGCTCTGCACTCTTGAATATCATGGATGAGCTGTTATCTGCTAAGGATAGGGGTTGGCAGAGTTTTGTCACAGGTTTGGATTATTCACAAGCCTTTGATTCGGTGGATTTTGATCTTCTGCTCTCTAAACTGCAGTTTTACCGATTTGATGAAACCTCTGTGGCCTGGGTTTCCTCTTACCTAAACAATAGGTCCCAACAGACTAAGGTTGATCTGAAAGCGTCAGACTTTTTGCCAAAGATTAGAGGTGTTCCGCAAGGTAGTTGTCTAGGGCCGATCCTTTTCTTGATTTACACTTCCGACCTTGGGAGTCAACTGAGGTATTGTGCTATTCATTCATATGCAGATGATACACATCTTATCGCTTCTTTTCCATCTTCGAATCTCCTTGACGCAATCAGGGATGTGAACTGTGATCTGAGTGTGGTTAAGCAATGGTCTGATGATCATGGGTTGCAACTAAATCCTGATAAGTGCTCAGTTTTGCATGTCAGTAATTCTTCTCTGCAAGGCAGACTGAATTCTAATAGGGGTAATATGATGATTTCATTGGATAATATGCCTTTATCACTTTGTTCTTCGTTAAGAGTCCTTGGTGTCCATCTGGATGATACTCTTAAATTTTCTGAGCAGGTGAGCCGTATCTGTCGTGTTGCTGTTGGCAAGTTGAGACGGTTGCACAGGTTGAGGTTCATATTGCCTACTTCAGCAAAACTTCAAATAGTGCAAGCAGTGGTTTATCCATCTATTAGCTTCTGCCTCTCTACCTTTTCTGGTTGCTTAACGAAAGAAAAAATCAAAATACTGACAAGGCTCCAGAATAATGCACTGAGGATTGTTTATAATTTGAAGAAATTTGACCATATTAGTGAATTTAGATTGAAATCTCATACACTATCCATACAGCAAATCTCTGATCTCCAAACATCAATTTTGGTTCACAAGACGCTGCTGACAAACCAACCTCAGTATCTGAATACCAAGTTGGTACGAAGATCTGAGGTCTGTGGGCGCAGTACTCGTCAGGAAGGCTTGTTGCAGTTACCGCGGGTCAGAACTGAGTCGGGGAAAAAGGCCTTTTCCTACTTTGGACCCCTGGTTTACAATGCTCTACCATCAGGGGTAAAAGAAAAAGGATTAATGGTATTTAAGAAGAATGTTAAAGATATGCACCTTTAGTTTTATTTTTTAAGAATGTTTCTTTTTAATTTACTTGTATATGACAAAAGTTTGCATGTAAAACAGAACTTTGTATCTGATGTACGCTGGATAAATAAAGACGTTATTTATTTATTTATTTTATGTTTCAGCCCCAGGAAGAAAAGCCCACTGGAAGAGGAAAGAGGTCGGCGAGTAAAAGAGTGTCTTTGTTAACGAGGACAGCTCAGGAAGGTGAAGCTATATTGAAGGTCAGTATTACGATATTAGGCCGGTGATATAAATTAATATTCTTAAATCATACAAAAGGATGAGGCAGTGAAACGGCACAAACTCGACTCCAGCTGACATCAGGTGGGAGGTTATGAGAGAACAGAGAAAATGACTTTGAACGTCCAAACAAGTGGAAATTTCAGTAGCCATGGAGAGTTGGATGAGTGCACAATGTGCATATGTTGTAAATGCATATCAGCACATTTGTTGTGCGTTCAGTTTCCCGTCTCGGGCTCCTGTGCCATCAAGGAAAGCTCCCTTGGGTGAATAACTTTGAAGCCACTGCTGGCACATTAAAAGCGTAAGAAAACTTTTGCAGACGGTTTGTGTGTGCTACGACGAAATGCCATGGGTGGATTTCTTCTCAGACTTTAACCAAGTGTGCTAAACCAAGGACGCCAACCTTGCTGACACTGTGTTAAAAAAATATGGTTTTTAAGCTAAATATTGAATTTCCACTTATAGAAGAAGAAAAAGCGCTTTATTTTCAAAATACCCAGTGCACAATACAAGTTAATTTGCAGGGGACGAGCCTACGCGCTACATCAATAACCTCTCGGTCGTCTGCCGGAATTTCCACTCATAGATGTAAGATTTAAAAGTTAAATAAATCACAACAAGCTGATACCCGTGCTTTGCAACGGGAAGAAAATGTGACCTAGAGAGCTATTAAAGTGGTGCTGATGTGTGTTTTAAAATACAGCAACTCAATGATTTAGTTTCAAAATATAAACTGATTTAAAAGCGTAAACCTACTTACTCTTTCAAACCCCTACTTTTGATTTGAATAGATCCTTAAGAATATGACAACATAACCTAGTGTAGCAATATCATAAATTGCTTCATATTGATCCTTCATGAATGACATGTTTTACTATATATAATTCTTCAATTTTAGTCAAGCCTCTTCACATATAGGTAAGCTTACTATATAAATCAAAAAATGAAACTTTGAGCAATTATGTTTTATAACGTATACAACCTCACTTTAAAACCAAACATAACCCTCATCATTCTACATAAAGCGTCACAAACATCTTTTTCGAATAATAAACAAACAACAGTTCATTGTACTGACCAGCTGTTTCATTAACTAAATTTAATTAAATAATTTAAACATTGAAAGCATGCCAGGTGTAGCCCATTGAAAATCAGCCTGTGGGGCAGAGCCCTTAGGAAGTTTGTCCATATCAATACTTTTCGGAAAATATACACATTCTTAGCTTTATTTTGATGTGCCATATGAATATATTTTCATTTGGTAAATCACCTTAACCGTTTACATAAAATTTGATTGTACCACTTTAATAATATAATAGATATTTTAATAAACTAGGTGTACTATGCAGTTGACTGCTTGCAATATTGAGCGGAGCTAGCATATTCCGATCCTTTTCTAAAGTCAATGCTACATCTGTTTGTCGTAAATGAGATATATACATGCAGTAACTTATCTAATGTCAATGGTATTTTTGGTTCACGTCAATGGAATGTCTATTTGCAGTATCCAAAGTCAACAATTATAAGTCTGCTTTACGGAAATGAATTGTCTTCTTGTTGGAACCAAAGACTATGTTTCATCTGGTTCTCATAAATTAAATGTCTACTTGCAGTATCCAATGTCAATTATATATTTGGTTCACATAAATAGAATGCCTATTTGCAGTATCCAAAGTCAATGGTGCATCTGGTTCACTTTACTGGGATGTCTATTTACAATATCCAAAGTCAATGGTAGTACCTACGTCTGGTTCACGTAAACTAATGGTTTATTTGCAGTATCCAAAATCAATTGTACACCTGCTTCACATAAATGAGAAATCAACTTGCAGTATCCAAAGTCAATGGTCCATTTGGTTCACATAAATAAGATGCCTATTTGCAGTATCTAGAGTCAATGGTAGGCTTACTTCTAGTTCACTTAAATCGGCTTCTATCCTTATTTTCAATATATTGACTGTCGATGCCCAACACTACTTACTTGCAGTAATATCATTATTTGCAGTAGTATATTGTTACACCTGTGATAACCATTAGCCTTTTTAAGAAAGACCCACTATTATTCTCTATTATTCATAATTTAAGTTTGCCTATTTTTTTTATAAATTATTTTAAATCTGTTAAATGTTAAACTAAGGGCAGCCTTTATTTTGGAATTTTCATGTCAAATTTTATTAATTATAAGTATTGCATCTTATATCTTTTTACAATAATAATGACGATGTCAATTACAATAATGTATTGTTTAAAGACTGAATAAATGACTATTCAATCGCACATTTTGTTCACGTTAATGAATTGTCTACTTGCAGTAGGCCTATCCAAATCAATGGTATCTTTGGTTCTCATTAATGAAATTCCTATTTGCAGTAGGTACCTGTAATTCAAAGTCTACAATGGTACATCTAGTCATAGATAAAACATGTTTTGGTTGGTCTATGATCTACTAGTTCAAGTAAATAGAAAGTCTATTTGCAGTATCCAACTCAATGGTTAACATAAATGGAATGGCTATTTGGAGTAATTTAAGTCAATGGTGCATCAGCATAATTCCGGCGATGCTAATTTTTGGTTATTCATTTTGTAGTAAATTATGCTCAATGATTGTTCTTTCCTTTTTCTCTGTACAGTATTTGTATGTGCTATTTTAGATGTTTTTCTGACTAACATTTGTTACGACTCTTGTTTACATTTTTATTGTTATCTCGCAAATAATATAATGGCAACCAATTAACCCATAAGGCCCATATTAAATTTCTGAAAGTTGAAATTACGTAGGGAAAAGCCCGTGTTCCGATTTGTACCATTTCAGTACCTTTCATACCTTTCCATAATTGGTTACTATGACTGTGCTAAATTTCGTGTAGATCGCTTCAGCCGTTTGGGAGGAGTATTTGTAGAACAAAAGCAGGAGTTTAGTATAAGAGCTTTGCTCGCTTCACTCCTTTTAATAAGTTATTTTTGACATCTCAAAATCGTGTCGTTTTACTGCCTCCTCTTGTAGGCTATTATTTTATTTTATTTTTAAAAGTGATTTAAATACTGTAAAACTTATGCTCATTGTGTCTTACAAATTAATTATAGTTTATATTTGATTTACATTTCTTCCTCTCATTGCTGTAGGGTATGGGCCATAAGGAAGATGGTGCTACAGAAGGAAGGCGAACTACAAGGAGTTCCTCAAGAGGCTCAACAGGGTCTGCTCAAGCTACGCCTCCTCCTGCCAAGCGAGAAAGAAAAGCTCCATCAACGGGAAAAGGTAAGCTATTAAAGAACTGCCCTACCCGGATTATTTGACAATTGGGAAGGCGCAAAAACTGGATGGGAAACACATGGTTAGTTGAATATTAGTGAATATCAGTTTGGATGCTATGTTGGTGCACACCTTTTTACTTGTGGCCTCATTGCATCTAATAAATGCTGAAAATGTTTATATCTGATAAGTCATAGCTCGTTTGCTTAAAAAAAATCAGCTTAAAAAGACACAAACTTCTATGTTTCATTTTTAAATAATTTAAGATTTATAGCCTAATGTTTCGTGATTTACCAAGGCTTTTCTTTCGAAAATGGCTATAATTTTGGAAGTAGAGGTGTGCAGATATTTGCTCTAGGAAAATTCAATTTACAGTAGTACATTTCAGATGGACCTGGTGTATGTTTTGGTAGCCTACTCGTATCACACATTGGCTACTACCAACAATTTAGTTTAAACCGAAATAAGCCCTAATATTGGAGACAAAATTCTGGCTGAAATTCTTAGTCATTCAGTGTATTTTCACTTTGTGCTTAGAACACTATAATTGTCTTACGCCTCAGTATATTTATCATCTTGAACGTTTCTCACAGGCTCTCGGCGCGGAAGGCCCAAGAAGGGTGAAGAGCCAGAAGAGGAAAATGAAGAGGCTGAAGCTGAGAGTAAATCTGAAAATAAGGACGACGAGAAAAAAGAGGAAAAGACCGAAAATGGTAAAGCCGATGAAGCTGAAAAAAAAGAAAACAACGTGGACGGAACGGATGGTGGTGGCGATGCCAAACCAATGGAGGTAGATGAGTCGGACAAACCTGCAGTGGCAGAAGGTGACAAGCCTACTGACAACGGACCAGCTGAAGAGCCTAGTTCGCCAGCCAAAACGGAGGTGAGTTTTTAGAACCACTGAAATATTAAGTTCTTTAACATTATCTCAGTTAAGTTGCTCATAAATTTTACGAGAAATTTCTACTACTCCATTTGATACTAGCGGTCCTTAAAACATCAAGCTCCTTATAACCCAACTCATAGGTCAAAATACCTAGATCCAGCTTGATAATAGGCTAAGCATGAAGGTATTTACATGTTTTTTTAGCATCTTTACAAGGTTTGTGACGGGTAGTTGGCGCAACCTGCATGACAAAAACATGATCTTTCCAGTACAGGAGACCCTCGGTAGTCCGGCACTGCTCTACTCCAGCACTCCAGTAATCCGGCGTCTTTTGAGAGCTATGGCCTTCTGCGATCACAGCAAAATTCTGATTATCTCACGCGGCTGTATATACATTAACATTGTCTCCCGCAGTCACGGAAAGGTCATTGCCGTCTTCCGCAATCACGGCATAATCATGAACACTCCTGCGGTCATGTAGATATTATCGTCGTTTTTAATCATCTCCCACAGCCGTGTAGACGTTATCATCGACTCCTGCGGTCACAGAAATGTCATCGCCGTGTTGCACGATCGCTGCAAAATCATTAACAACTCCCGCGGTCATGTAGACATTGTCATGTGTGATCAGAACAATAGCGGTTTACAAACAAGCGATCAGAGCAGAAGTATTTTATGCATTTTTAGTGTTTTTATAGATGACATAAAGTAATCCGGCAGTATCACGGTCTTATATCTGCCGGATTACTGACAGTCTACTGTAATGTTGATACCACGACTTATCTCCTACCAGACCTGTACTGCAAGGTGAATGTGAAATTGCTACTTATTTGAACTTTACAAATTGCAAGCAACACATTACAAGGTAATTGGTTTTCACAGGATACTCCTGCAAAGCCTGAGGAGGCTGAAAAACCAGAAGCAGAAACGAAAAAGGAGGAAGAGTCTTCAAAGCCCGAGTCAGGTGGTGAGAAAGCAGAGCCGGACACAAGAGAGGCGCCACCTCCTCAAAGCGAATAGGAATGACTGACCTTAATTTTGTAAAGTAAGTGACGATTCTAAAGGCTCCAATCAGAATACCTATGTAAATATTTATTAGGAAAGGTAACATTTTATTCTGTCTGCTTGAATCTGCTCACCATCAATAACCTGATAATTACAAAGTAAAATTAAATCATTGTTTAAAATGTATATCATAAACATAGAAATTACCTTCTGTGAAAAATGTCTAGCAAAAATGATTTTAAATAAAATATTTAAAAAATGCCATAAAAATAATGCCTATTTAAGACCTAACAAATTTAAGGAAACTGGTTGGGAAATAAAGTTGCTCTTTTTTCACACATAGGTACATAGGTAGTAAATGTCTTTAATTCCCCGAGTTGATGTAGATAGTTGGGTGGAGAAAGGAAGGTTAAAAGGACATAATATAACCTGAACCCCATCGCACAAAATAATTTTTTCATCAAAAAATTCTGGCAGAAGTCATTTTACAGTGACTTTAAAAATATTTTGAGCAGGCCTAAGTATTTTTAATACTGAACAAGCTTTACGAAATGTGGTCCGAATGGTGGGCCTTCATTCGCCACCCTGCATATAATTAAAATATCAGGAAAAATTATTTTTCTTTTACCTACTCTAGATAATTTTATTCTAATTTATTAAACAATTTCATGTTGAATCAGCAAACTGTACAAATATCTTTTAAATTGTTTAATTCTACTATTTAATTATATTCCAATTATGTTTGTTTCAGAAAACTACCTGACCATTGTAGTTGAGAAAAGATCGTTCAACTCTAAAACTTTCTTTTTCAACAAACCCAGCAACAATGGCAGATTTTAGTTGTTAATTTGTTGATAACATTATTTTATGATTACTAACTAAAATGGGAAATTATTGTATGATAAATTATCTTTTTAATCGGGCATCTAAAGTTGATTTAATGATTTTAAAAATCAATTAAATCAATTCACACTTAGCTGGTCTTCTAAGAATTAGTAGTTGATTTAAGTAAAACAAACAATAACTATAGGTTTGTTCATTGAATTTTTAAGAATTTTTTAAAGAGATCTCCGTATGCATGCTTGTTAGTTTAGCAACAGTTTTTGAGGTATGTTTTAAACATAAGAATTGAACATTCTTACTCACGGCTGTCAGTTCAATGTCAGCTTATTTATCAATGACATTACCTGTAATATATTTTAAATCTTTAGATTAATTTATTAGGGTATTAAGAGTCCTTTGGTTTGGCTCATTTAAAAGAATTCATATTAATTGTTCATTAATTATGTAATTTTTAGTTTTCCAATTAAACTTTTAAGAGAGATTTTGTCATATATTTGTGTTTCTTGTTTGGGTGTTTATTTTTAATATGATGTAATTATTGTTCTAAATAATTTTAAGTAGTAAGTGTTGACAAAATATTTTAATGGAAATAGACATTTAAATACGTATTCATTTGAAGATTGAAAATCAACATGGTGATTTTATGGCAGTTTGTTTTACAAATTTCCTTTCAATGCCAACTTGTGAATATAATTTGCATGGATTGAAATAACAGGCCTACATAATAAATCTGTGTGTACAATTATTTTAATATGTCGGATAATGTTTGTGAGTACATAATTAGAAGATGTTAAATGTGTGGCCACTTTTAGACTTAATTTAACTGTGTTTAATTTATGTTTTTTTTTTTTTATTTGTGTATGTTATTGGAATTTTTGCATCACAACATATTTATTAATAACAAAAAAATCAGTGATAAACGTTATTTATAGACATGTCTTGTACGTAAGGTTGTGAGGTGTTATATAGGTGGCATTGAAAGGACACGGCTTGGTAAAAAACATCAGCATCTCTACTCGCAAATTATTGACACGAAAGTACAAATTAGATATGAAAAAGTAATCTGGTTGATTTTTACCACTTATGTGACAGGTTTGTTATAAAATAAGCTATTGGTTTGTGTAAAACCGCTATTTTTATGGTCAGTTGTATGTGTCATTACTGTTTTAAAAGAAAACCGTTTTCCTAAAAATAGTTTAAAACTAAGGCGATGCATAATCATTTTGTACTACAATGAATGTATTGAAAATAAATTGTGTGAGTATCAGTTTGTTGATTCTTATTTCTATGCTTGAGAGTCGCTAGAATCCACTGAGGGCCTAGTTCAAAACAGATGTTACCGTTCTCACACTCGTTTCAATGAATAAACCTAATAAATGTCTATTTAAAATTTAATTTAATGTGTACTTTTCCAAATGTAGTTTAAAATAATTTAGTGTAGAAATATAGATCAAATCAAATTATTTGATTATTTGTACAAAGTTGAATGAATTGAAAAGTCAAATATAATTACTTTTATTTTATTGTATTGTGTAGTCTTTGTGATGGTGTTTGGATGGACAACACTGTTCTATGTGTTTGTATCCTGTAATAAATACATTTTACGAATATCTTGTATGCTTACCTCGGAATGGTTTCTCCCCTAGAATTTTTGGCCCACAGCCTAATGTTTAAACAAATTTTGTTCTCTGATGAATATAAATTTGTGATTTTAAAAGTTATATATTCCAATGAATTAGAAATATCAATTGCAAACTTCTTCAGAGCAAGATATCAAAATTAAATTGATGCTGTTTATTTCTGTGCAACGAGTTGATGGTTGTTTACTTAGTTGCATAGCTGTTGGTTTAGTTTATGTATAAAAATTGTCCACTCACGTCAAATGAAAGGATTGATTTCTCTTACTTAGCAGCACTTATTTAATAAATGAGGACTGGTTTGAAATCAAATGTGAGAGATTAAGTTTGACCAATATTAACTTAATTGTTTGAATCCCATTGTTACAAAATATGGGTCCAGTTAGAAATATAAAGTGGAACCTTGATAACTAGCATAGCCTTTAGTACAAGGCCACAAATTTAGTGTGTGTGTAACACTGCACCGATGGCATAATGCCATGGTAACAGTAAACATTAACATTGCACATTATAAAGTAGTGCAACAGCTGTTTCGGCAGGCCAGTGCTGGAGCATGCCACCTTGTCTTGATGTGGGGGTCAACGGCTATCACTAGTTGACTGACAAGCCGAATGGGGTAAGTGTTTTGACATAAAATATGCATAAGTGGTGGAAGAAGTTCAGAGGTGGTTTTTACAGTAATTATATTTACACTTTGCATGGTGTAGGGTAGCTGCGGTTGGTTATTAGTCTCATTTGAGGCTATGACCTCAAAGAAGACAAAGGTTTAGGGAATTTGCCAGCAGATCATGGTGTGACTGAATGGCAGATTGCAAACTGATTGCTGATGTGATGTCTTTTAAGGCCATCAAGGACTACACTATGTAATTGTTGTAACCTTAGCATTCTAAATCACATCAACCACAAAAAGTTGCCTCAGCTTAAATTATTTTTGTCATCGACTTTGATCAGAGTGGACGACTGCAAACAAAAAAATCAGCAAAAAGTGTTTATCTATTGAGTGCACGTTTTTTATGAACTATTGAAGTGGGATTGGAATGTTGATAAGGGAGCTAACTGCTGTGATAGGTATCTAAGTTTTTTCTCGTAGCAAGTCTAGACAAGGATCAGAGATGTGTCAAGATGATGGCACAGGGCAGGCGTCTCACAAGAACCCGTTCTCCGACCGACTACCTCCAGATGAATACCTGCCTACCTCTTGAAAACCCATCTGTGTGAAGACATTTGCAAACTCCCTAAGAAACTTGTGCACATTTCTACGCCTAGAGATGTAATAGTATATTACTTTACTAGTCCTGAAAATAAGTGTTTACCGGACGAGGAGTCGTTCCCGTGCGAGACGAAGTTGAATACGGGATTACCACACGAGTCCGGTACACACATTTTGGACGAGTTATGTACGATAGTTTACGCCATACTAATAAATCTGTACAAATCCTAATATATATTTCGACCAACTAAAGGACTAAAAATCACTAGTCATTATGTTTTTGTTTACCACCATTCATTGCCACCTAAATACAGTATAATCAGCTGATTGGTGTCCGGTAAAACTCATTACAGTACAGTAGTACGCAATGAAACCCCATTTGATTAAGCTGGCGGGTAACAGCTAATAGGAGGACCCTAAGCTAAAAAGCAGTATCTAACTACTACTAGCTATTTTCTTATTTACAAACAACAGTGTAAACACAAACACAACAACATAATCTCAGCTGGGAGAAACTGCTTTTAGTTCCTCATTTGTACCCATAATGCTAAGCAAAAAGGCAGTACGTGATGTACATCACTAAGCATAAAGGCAGTATCTACATTGCAGATACTGCCTTTTAGCTTAGTTTTTGTTGAAAAATGATGTATGTACTGCCAATACACCTGCCATATCTCAGAAACGGTTAAAGATACTGCTTTTTAAGTGTGTTTTTCAGAATTCCTGACCCCAAAAACTTTATATCACATCAAAATCTGAAAATCGAAAATTTTGCACTTACTGCCTTTATTAGCAGGGCAGAGCTGTTTTCTGGACTAAATCCTTGTGTGGGAAATTCGTCAAAATAATGTAGTGGGGCGTAAAATACTTATTCATAAATGTGGGTATTTAAGATCATTCAGCTACACACAAGTTTTAAGTATCTTACCATTAAATAGCACTGGTTTTAATTCGTCAAATAATTAGAAAACTAACATTAAAGGTTAGTTTTTATTAGGATGTATAATTCATATTATATTTAAAATTATTACATAATGTTAATATTTACAGCCCAGTCCATATTCCTAAAATTCATACACCCTGTATCCGCTTATTTTGTTGGTGTAATTATAATGAAAAGGGTTATTAAATAAGCTCATCTTTAACTGAACATATTTAACGGTATTACAGTATTGGTTTTATCCATATTTGACACTAAATGCCACAGTACATGTATCAATTTGAATCATAAGTACGAAAAACGATTTTTAGTGAAATATTGCTAACAGTTAATATTATTGAGATACATTGTCTAGGCATTTTAGAAATTATTTCTGAATTAGGCTACCAAATTTTAGCTTTTACTCGACTATTATTATCTACCTACATGATGTTTTGTTAAATAGTTGTATAAGAAAGATTGTATATAATTTTTTTAAAGAAAAAATCACAAAAACAACAAAAAGTTGATCACATGTGAATAACTTAATAAAAAGCTTAGCATTTTGTATCTGGGAGAGTAACTCAACTGTAAAATTTTTTTTCCTTTGAGTCGTCCAGAAAATCTGTAAAATCTACGGTTAAGTAAACTTATTCAAAAACATTATGACATTTTAAGCATTTAAGCTTTAGATTAGGTTAGTCAAAGAGATTAGTATTGGTATTATCGGTATTATTGACACTTACCATATGGGCAAAGCAATGGGATTCAGAAAAAATATCAAACTTACTGATTTTCTGTGCTTTTCCAGCCTGTTTTTTTAGCGAATTTCTCTATAGGGAAGTAGCTATTACCGTAAGTCTCATGGTAAGACCTAGGCCCGGGACCGATTTACTTTTTTCATTTTGATGTCCACAGAGGCCAAAAACACAATTCGTTTGAATTTATATATATACTATTTCAGTCTCCTAAGAGAATTAGTGACGAGTCAGTGAGGGCTTTGCCTTTCATATATATAGAAATCTATATATTCTCTATATAATTCTTAATTCTCTTACTTCTCATTTACCTATGGCTGACATTTGGTACACTGATTCTTTAGGCATTAAATAGGAAAACTAAGTTGTTTTTATTCTGATCAGACTCTCGGGCTCCGCCCCAGCGGCTTTGGAGTTTCCCATGTTAACCTTATGAGTACTCTTATTTAAATGGAATAATTGAATCTTAACCGCTGTTTCTATTAAACAAGTTGGTTCTGTTCTATGATGTTCATTGGCATTAAAGTTACAAGGATTACCAACAGGGTGCAGCACTATTATTTTTTTTTATTTATGACAATTTGCATTTATGAGCTAATTTGCAACCAAAAGGTGAGTGAGCGTAGCGAATGAACTTAAACCTGGAGGCGAGTTAGCGTAGCGAACGAGCTCCAACCTAAAGGTGAGTGAGCATAGCGAACAAACTTCAACTAGAAGGATGTGATTGAGCCATGCGAACGAGCTCAATTATGAAGTTAAACGGGGCAAAGCCCGCGGGTACAGCTAGTATATATATATGTGTGTGTGTGTTCGTCCAGACGATAACTTGAGTAATTTTTGTCCAATTTTGATAAAATTTGGTTTGAAGGTGTAAGGCGGGATAAACTTGAATGAGTTTGTGAACCAGCATGATCGGACCATGGGAACGGGGGTTTTTATGTGGTAAAAATGGGATTTTCTCATTTTTTACCCTTAAACCACCAAATTTATTAATTTTTCTCCATACCTTTTTAAAGAGCTTAAAAAACAAATAATTTAGTATATCAAAGTGTTTTGTATGGTGATTGGTTACGGGGTGGATTCAAAAAATTGTTAATTTATTCCCATGTTATTCTTATGGAGAATATTGTAAAATGTTTTAGTTGGCTTGTTTATGGATATATTTTGATCAAACTTAGCGGATTTATTTATTTCACACTAAGCTATTGATATTTTAATAAAAAACACACTTTAATAGTTTCCCTGTAGCATCTTAGCTAGGTACTCGTTAAACATAAATGTTAGTTTAATAGATTAATTGAAAATCAATCAAGGCAAATGGAAATTCGCTTAGTCAGCAGGTTTGCTGCAGCGGGGGTATTTGGATCCAATAACGGGGGCCACCAGCTAAAATCTCCTCTTTTTTACACAATACTAGCCTATATGACAACCCTAGCAAATTGTTTCTTGAATGTTTCACACTCTGTCAAATGTTTCACTATTGTTTGTGTTGAATGTTGTTACCTATTTACTAGTTTTAGAAATGCCAATGAAAGATTATGATAGTGCATGTCACTGTTATTGGGAATCGGAATTCTACACCCAGAAATTTACTCCCATGAAAAAACGCCTGAGACGTCAAAGTCTGACACCGGAATTCTGTCCCCAGAAACCTAACCCCCGTGGTCAGCTACGCTACGTATCGGCCAAGATTCATTGTTGTAGTAGTTTTAATTGGTTGGTTTTTGAAATCAACGGCTCTTTGGTTAATCTTTACCTTCTAATATCCAGTATTAAGCATGCGGTATCTCGTTGTCTTGTTTATAAAATTAGGATTTTTTATTAAGACGTATTCAGTCATAAGTATTAAAAGCTAAATTCTAACAATAGATTTAAAAATACAAATAAAATTCAATTATATTTTTCGTGCAATTTAATAATAGTGAATACTTATGTCTGACTAGCTGTTTTTCCTGTTCTTACCGTTGGTCCACGAAGGAAGTCATGATATTTTTTAATGTAAGCATACCTTGACTTTATAGCTCATTGGGTAGACTTCCGTATATGTTGGCACCAACAACCGAATAAAAATATTGATTATTCGA